ATTTCTCAACACGATATCTCTCTAACTGTTTGATAAGTGATATGGAAACACTATGAATCGATACTAGCTGTTGCTCGCAACTTCGCCCGCGTCAAATAATAATATAGCCTATGTTCTAACAGTGAAAGAACGATTAAAATCGGCACAATAGTTTTTGAGTTATTTCAATACGTACAAAAATCTTACCTCTTTATAATATTATAGTATACAAACGGTTTTATTTGACGCTTTCTTGTTAAAGATGTATGATGAAATGTTTGGTCGCTTACCAGACGATTTTTTACTCAAGACAATTACGAATGACCAATGTATTTTAAAAGGAGGGTATACTCTAAATATTTTAGTTTTGATTTATTATAATTAATGCAGAGATATCGTGGGTAAGCTGTTCATTTTTTTTATAATAATAGTATTAATTCTATTACTAACTTTTGCAGGTGATTGTACATCTCAACCAGTACGATTTCCGCGAAGCCAAAACTTTGTGGTTCGACCTCATGCCTGAATTACCCGGTGTTTAAAAGCTTTGTTATATTGCTGTTACTGCCTTATTTATGCAAGCTATTGATGCTTTTAGACAATAGGATAAGTTAAACGTGTATCAATTGAAATGCTTTTATTTTTAAACTTGTTTAAAGTTTACATATTTATACAGTTCCATCCATTATTTTAATTCATAATGAAAAAATGATAGGATTGCACAATAATCTGGTAATCTCAGTTATATTTACACGTCGTTTTATGATCTTTTTAACTGAAAAATACGGAATAATCAATAGCTTTTTAGATGTCTGTTTAATTTATTTTAAGAGTGACAAGGAAAGTTTTTGTATGCAAATTATAAATAATATTTATAACTGTGAAGATAACAAAATGTTGTATTGTGTGTGCAAAGTGTCCTTTTTTACTGTGTTCATTACAAATCTCAAGGCTTAATAATTGTTTCAATAGACATATAATCTATACTTTTGTTGGTGTTTTTACACATTTATATAATATTTAAATATATTACATGTTATTGTTTAAATTATGTACTTAAAGTTTAAATTTCATGTTAAAGTTTAATAAAATATGTAGATTTAGACAAATTGTAATATTTGTTTCAAATAAACTCACATCTCAACACATTTGTGAATCTCTATAATTACGAAATACTTTAGTACATATTATTTTTACATTACTTGCAAATATACAATGTTTGAAATGAAGTTTTATATACATTTTGTATAACCTAATAAACTATAATATTAAACATTTAGTTCAATATTGAACATAGGTTTTTAGAAATGCAGCGCTTAACTTGATATGGCCAAGCAGTAACATGATGAATAACAAATTTATAGTGTTGATAAATTATTTTATATTGTAATGTTATTGCATTTAAAACTTTACGTTATAAGTTAATGTAATCACTTTATATTGTATGCTTTTATAAATCAATAAACTTTGAAAAAGTTCAAATTGTTTGATTTAATACTAACCTAGAAATAAATTTAATATTTGTATGGTCATAGAATACATAGGTTAATTTTTAATCATCCTAAAGTTTAGTTATTATTTTGTCCACTTGATGCTGATATTGATCAATTTTCAAGTAATATTGAGTGTACAGACTTGTTTAACTGCCACATGGCTCCAACACATCTAAAAAATTTTGACACATCAGTGAATAAAATACAATGGTTTACATAAAAAATTATTTATTCACACTTCATTACAATCTGAATGAACATATTCTTGAATTACAGTCTTTCAAAACAGTGGCTTGTTGGTTGTAAATATAAATTTCAACGATCTAATGTGTTAGGAGTTATCTTTTGTCCAATAATTTTACCATAGCCACCTCTGCCACCATCATAGTCTGTTCTGTATTCATCTCGCACCTACAAATAAAGGAAATAAACAATTAGGTAATATCTGCGCGGACAAGCTGCAAGCTACAAACATGGCATGTGATCATGCAACACAGTGTCTTCATACATGATAAGAATAATTCCTGACTTCTTAAAGTACCAGGTCAAAAGACAATAAAACCCAAAACATCCTTATTATTAATTGTTTATATCAAATCATAGAATAAAATATAAGTAATCACATAGCCTGAAACATTTGCAGAATACTAATGTTAACATGATTTAAATGTATTTGTAAGGAGAACTCAACTGTTAAACCAACAAGGGAACAAAAGTAAATTAAACAGATGAATTAACAAAAAAAAGTAAAAATAATGTAAACTTTATGTTACCTGTCCACCAGTTTTTCCACGTCCATACTGTCTCCCTTCTATAAAACCAGCATCCCAGTCACATCTTATAATTCTGTCATCTAATCTTGTTCCATTGATGTATCTACAACAAATTTCTTCATAAGCTACTCTGAACTTATATTATCTCTTATGTGTATTATCTTGAACATCATCTTACCTCATACAATTTTCTGCATCTGCTCTAGCATAATACTCAACAAAACAAAATCCACAAGGTGTTTTCTTGTACTTATCTAAACCCATGATTACTCTTCTCAGTTCCCCGCAACGCATAAATAATTCATATATTTGTTCTTCCGTCGTATAAAACGAGAGATTTCCAATGTATAACGTTGACGATGCACGTAGTAACTTTTCTTGTTCATTTCGGGAGCCCTATGGACCAAAATAGATATAGCTTCCAAAAACTGTAAATGCACAATCTGTGATGAAAATGATATCTGATCATACCTTAAAATGTTGATCACGATAAGAACTTATCTCTATTGAAGAATTCATAGTGTCATAGCTTCGTTTCATGGTGAATATACGAATTTACTAACCCAAGAAAAATAACAAGTGAGATTTAATAAGAAAGCAATAATTTTTGTATAGTATACAACGTGTACACAAAGTAATTTTTATAGAAACAACAATTTGAATTATATCACAATAATATGTTGACCCCAATGAAAAATAGGCTTTTTAGTTTTATGAATTACGATTGTCCACAACCACAAATCCACAGCAGAATTGACATTGACAGTGACAGTGGCAGTAAAGTTGTCAGATGCCATTTATATTCTGTTTTACTTACTTTTGACAAAAGCAACAAGAAACTTTCTGCCGAGTGGATATTAAGATTTTTTCCTCTAGTCTATTCCGTTGACGCATATTTGTTAGGTTAAGCTTACTATTTTATTTGTAGCAGTACAATTTGTTCCCGATTGGATGTTTAAGATTATGTTTCCATTTTTAGTATGATACTTAACTTTAATAAAGTTCTTGTTTATTACATGTCCCATGTGATTCATTGTAACATGTCTCATACCTTAGTAATCCATAAATCCCTAATTTCACTGCCACTGGGACTACTCCCAGACTTTCTTTATTATAATAATTTCGTATCTTATCCATTCAAGATTATAATAAAAATGAAAGTAAAAGGGATGACTGTGATGACGGGTGATGAGCTATTTGGAAAACGAAACCCGGTGCGCTGACCTTACGGGTGTAGGATAAGGTAGTGAAGACAAAGTGAAAGTAAAAGAGATAAATATTTAGCACTTAAGGAAATTTAATGAAACAAAAACGAATGTGTAATTTTATATTATCTATTTATAAGAAAATAATTTACATAGAAAAGCATAAGTACTTAACAGAAGAAAAAAAGTACCTAAAATTATTACTCCTCTCTAAATCGTGGTCGTGTAACCATCAATACATCGTATATGTTTAAGCTATTTATTTACATTTGTGCAATCCTTATACTACTTACAACAGACATTTGAAATGAACAGTATTTTTTAAATATAATGTATGGATTGCATTGTCCAATTCGTTTAGTTCAAACTTTCTATGAAGTTTGGTTCATAGAAAATATCATTGTACATTTTTCACCACATGCTTGTTTAATAAATTAACACTGCAAGATCGATTTTATATACGGCTGGAATGAAATTCGTATGCACTAATCAAAGATATTGGCAGGTGCGTTTGTGGACTGGTTTTTTGGTCAGGGCAGCGCGGACTCCTTCCTCGAAAACCTCGTGCATGTTGACTCGTTCTAGCGCGGAGCATTCGACAAGTTGAGCAGCTCTGCAAAGATATTACCGTTCATTAATTTTTGAACAACGGAAGCAGCAAACTCTCAGAATAACAAGATGCGGGTAATGTATCGTCTATTACTTTCTCGTTTTCATTAAATTATTTTGAATGCAAGTGAACCATATAGGCGATTTGGTGGTACTGAACGTGTTAAATCTTTCTTAAATCATTATGTATAATATAAGTAATAAGTAAACATTAAATTAGCACTTTTATTCAAAATGTTTTGTAAACTATTGTTTGTAGTCCTTTCACATTCTGTCATTATCAGCTTGCGATAATACGACACGATAAGAGACCGACGACGCCCCGCGGCAGCGGCGATGTATCGCCCTTGCCTCGCCTCGCTTTTCGTTTATACCATAGATCTTGTGCGCTTATTTCAAATTGTAAAGAATACAGCAGAGCTGTTGTGTGGCGGGATTACCTGGCTTAACGAATATCCATGATAACATACAAACGTTGATTTTCCTTCTGCTGAAGTCATCACAAGCTCACCATGTGTCCCCACTGCTCAATCCTACACTAGATTAGGGGTGACATGCTAGCACCTAACTAGCTGTTTTCCGGCAGTTGTACAAAAATGTAATTAGTTATTTTTAAGTCAATATATTTTGTCTTTTGACTTACCGTATTTTCCTCTTTAATTTTTTCCCCTCTTGCGTGGTAATAACCGCTTTGCCTGTTGCCCTCAAGTCTATTTTCGTTGCTGAAAAACGATGGTTAATAGGTTATGTAAAAACAAGGAAAAATATAAACTGTATATTAAAGTAACATAATACAAGTAAACATATCATGGGTTTTCATTCATATACAATAAATAATACGTAAGACAATATAGCTTGGGCACTACGTTTTTAAGACACAAACGTGATATAAATCAAGTCTGTTTTATAACGTGTATCGGACCTGCACAAATTCAAATAATTAAATTAATGTTCGCTCTTTTTTAATCAGTAATAATTTCGATTAAACGTCTGTTTTGTGAACAAACAACGGAAAAGTTGCTTTAGTTTAATATCTGCACTTAAAGCATAATTAAATACCGTAAACACGGTGCCAATCCCCAGAATTGCATATGTTGGAAATTGAAGGAAGCAATTAGATAAAAATTCTAAGAAACGAAAAGTGCCTTTTGCTCTACGAGTACTCGTTCTGTACAGAACATAATATTTTTCAGTTACCATTATTTAATTTAAAACTAACTTTAGAAGATGATTTAATATGTTGTCGTTCCCCTCATTCCCATAACCCTCGCTTCTACTCTACACTTATTCCAAGCTAGTTTGGCCATTTAAGGGTATGATCCCGAACAATTAGTTACCAGTTATACGTGATCGATAAAAATCCGATAGAATTAGTCTTGGTGAGTCTCGAGAGATATTTTAATATGGAAGCTTGCTCGATCAGCTCTGATCTATTTTTAACCTCGACTGTAATGCAGCTCCACTAGGCACAATGTTATTCCATTTAAAAAAAAAAACTTTTTTCTCATACAACTATACGAAACATTGTCTATGAAGGATATCCATACAAATTCTGAATTTGGAATTCATGACGCAAGCGTTAAGTAACACTTAATCCTGCTCATCATTAAAATGTTTAAGTTCGTTTGAATATCATACAAAAAGATAATACAACGTCACGGTTTACTATTAAATTAGCGGGCGTAATTAAATGACGTCAAAGTGACACATTTAGTGCGCGAACAATACACCTCGCGGTAACTAGCAGTTTACTAATCAAGGCTAACAGGAAACGAAACCTAAGTACCTTTAAACAGTAGTATAACACAACCAGACTCGTCCCACACATCAATATTTAACGCCTGCATCGCGTGCATTCAGTAATAATAGTTTAATTTGCCAATTTGAATCCCAAACATGTTTAAAGATTTTCTGTAGTATTGGCAAAATAGACACGTGCGTGGTTTCAATACCGTTAATAACTTTAATTCTTTCTTACGGCTATGAAGTGGGGACCTGCCACCTTCGAACACCAGAAAATAATGTAATCGAGGCGTAAATTTGGTTTTTGATTAATTAATTTAATGTAAGAATTTAGCATAGTACTGCTAATCACAAATCAATCAATGTTAACTTTGCCATTGCGTCGATAAGTAAAGTCGAGTTAAACGAAACGGTTTACACAAGACAATAGTTTTTAAATACTTCTAATAATGATACCGAAAATCCCTAACGGATATCTACATCATTGTCTATGTTCTGCTTCCGGAATAAGGAGATAATAAATTCGGATAAGTCGGTTTGTCGTAACTATTGTTTTTACATTGTCGGATCTCCGTCGTGTTACCGATTAACTTTTATTATAATTTCGTTTAAATTCATTACATTACACATGGAACCCGGGAAGGGTCAAATTTCACTTACAAGATTTGCTTACAGACAGGCAAAGCGACAGGTGAAACAAAATAAAAACTTTTAAAAGTCAAATAACTATTTAAAAGCAATGAACTAAAAAGGACACAAAAAATTGCAGATGTTTGAGGTATTAATTTTTTTTGGTTCATACTGTAACAAAGACATATGCTTGTTATTGGAATTTAGAGCATTACGTCAATATAAATTTGATGACTTTGTTCCCTTAAAACCATTATAAATTTCTGGGTTTAACGACCAGCGAACGAGTTTCATTAAGTTGAAACTGTAAACAAATAAAAGTCACATTAAAACGGAAGGCGGAGAGAAGTTGTGTGCGAAAATAAACATTTCTACAGTCATTACAATTAGGTCCTTCCTCATTAACACACATTGGACTAATGTTTACAAATACACAGTTCAACAATTACTTATTTGTCGGTCAGCTACATAAACTATTAAATTTACTACAATTATCACTATTTTAACTAAGATTTTCTTACCTACTAAAACTACGGGCACAGACGCACTGAAGTGCTTCAGTTCAGGATACCACTTGTGAATGACATTTTCATATGAAGACCTGCTTCCCACCGAATAGCACACGAGGAAACAGTCTGTCTGTAATTAACAAAAAATGTTACATATAAATACAGCACAAACTAGTAGCATTTTAATTAAAATGGAAATAAATATTAGATACGGTACGTGATCGTACATATGCGTTTGTTATTTAAAGTTAAGAATTAATATGGCTATAGGCTATAGGTCAAGGTAAAGACAGAACAAGGTTGATGACATAAGATATTATGTAATCAAACACGTTATAAACAAACATATATGTACTTACATTACTATATGACAAAGGCCTCAGTCTCTCGTAATCTTCCTGACCAGCTGTGTCCCATAGCGCCATCTCCACCTCAACATTGTCCACGGTGATGTGACCCACGTAGTTGTCAAACCTGAATCAATCGTTTCTGATTAATTTCAGTGATGTTAGCAAAATCATTTGATAATAAAACATTAAAACGTTGGTTTATTTATAATTAAATACACAAATTGTGTCTGTATTTTTACATCTGGAAACAAAGAACAAATATGTACAATCGTTAACGTACTGGATTTAAAACCAGCGTCGTACGAGTGTTTCATGTTCATAACTATTTGAGACATCGAATAATTGGCTACAGAGATGGATAGCGAGGAAGTCCGTTGTAGGCGGAGGTTTCTTAAAGAGGAAACGACGCGCATGCACAATACAACAATGCCGCGAACCGCGACGCACATTTGACTTTATAAATATTGCACCTTTGTAATGACTCCGAGGACAATATTGATAGGGAAAACTCGCACAGTTAAATGACTGTTCAATTGTTCTAACTTCATGTTTATATTTGTAAAATAAATAATTACAAAGTAAAAACCACTGTTCGTCCTTAGTTATTTCGTGGCAAACAGCCCTTAAACGATTAACTTGACTCTCGAGAAATGTGATAAAAATATAGTTACGTATTATTGTTTTTATCAGGACATTATATCTCGATATGATATTGCAAGAAACTTTCTGTAGTTGTGTCATTTACAATTTTAACTCAAAACATATATGAGAAATCAAACAATCGCAATTTTGTTGTTTCAGTAACATTGAGATCAATTGCAATTTTCTCACGTGAACGCGATCGGAACTCCGATGAGGAATGCGTTTATGTGAAACTTTGACGTAAAAGCATCTGCGGCTCAGCGGCTAATTGTATGGCACCCTATCCCTTAGTCGGCAGCACTATTCCTAGACAACTTACATAAATGTCTGTTTTCGAATAAATATATTTTATTACGATTGGTTTATTGGTCAACATTTTAGATCTATTACGAGTAATAATTATTAACACAATTTTGATATTATAGTGCTGACTTATGAATATTATAATTTGAACAACAAAAACAAGTCAATAACTTTGAAACATTTGTGGTTTGAAGCTGAGCGTACTTTACTATAATTCATGATTAATTTAAACTTAAATATTAGTTGCATACATTGAATTCTTTAGTCATTGCTGACTCATGTTAGCTACAGCTTGTTAAATACATGAGGAGCTAAGTATTACGATGACGAAAACATAAAAAATTACTCATCGTAGAACAACTTATATACATGTATTTACAATCAAATAAATTTAATAATTCCACGTAGTCTCATGATTTAAAATTAAGGTAAATTGAAATTAAAGTTAAGACGTGTTGAAAGACTCGGATATTTTTTGACGAGAACAAATTAATTTTTATTGGCGTGGTTACACTTTCTGCCGGCACAGCTTCCGCTCTTATCTCAACGTAATGTGTTGTATAAACACTGCGTCATTTTTTTTACAAAAAAACATTAACAGTAATCTGAAAGACTACAATAGGAAATTTAAAATAAATAGTTTCATTACAGGTTACGTTTCGATCCCTGTGATTTATATATATTTCGATTTTCCTCTTTAAACGTGTTATAATGTTACAATTTCATGTAATTTTACGACCTACACGTAGTGATTAGATTATTTGTTACACGGTGAGTTCTAAGTTCGATTGCCGCTCAAGACTTAATTTATGTAAATTGATAATTGAAATGCTTAAAAGATCTAGTAAAAAGGGAATAGGGTTGATCTGTTTCTTAAATAAATTTGGTATATTTTTTTTTTGACATTTATTAATGAAAATTAACTGTTAATTTTAATAATTAAGTTTGTAGGTACGGTCTAATAAATACATTCGGTATGGTATCAGCGGCTAACGCGCTAATTTAGTTAGGGCCGTCACCGCTCAGCAGCCGACCCATTGACCTCAGCAGCCGCACCTGCGAGTTAAGTCCGAACTAAACGATCGTCTACTTACACCGTGGGCACATACTCCTCGGGAAATTCATTTCTAGTGTACACGTAGAGCAGGCAAGTCTTTCCGACCATACCGTCACCGACCACTGTTATCTTTAGCCTCTTCGTCGTTCCCATGTTAATATCCACCACATAGAACAAACGGCGGCGCACAGTTCACAATAATAAATATAATAATGTCTATTGTTACACACCGATTTAGCTACTGCCAACTCATATCGAATTTTAATGATACGCTCACAGGTAAGACGAATCGGTCCTTGAGGATTCTTATCATTCAGTGATGTAATGATCTTATCACACACTAAGATACATTTGTGATAACGCGGTAAATTTAATTGGAAACGGACGCGTGCGCATGCGCACACTCGCGAGCCTGAATGAGGACTGATGACAACAAATATATTATAGTCGAGTGGGAGTGATTCAATTGCGGTTGGGCAAAGCGCGGCGACGTCTGCCGCTATTACTAACGCGCCACCGCTACTATTGTCGCATCGCATTAGGACGCGTACAAGTACCCACTACGAGACACGCCGCGTTCAATAATTAATTCAGTACGCGTCTTCCTACCAAACCTTTTTACAAATCAGCTTACAATTTTTATTTAGGCTGGAAGAGCACATTATTAATGCATTGTCTTATAACAAAAGTGGTTTCATAGCTCAATAACTGATATTTGCCATGTTATTTTTTTTTTATTTTTTACCCTGTCCTAACTCATATTATTTTTCTGTCACTGAAATTAGTCTGTTTAGGCAATATGGTACACTAAAACTTTACTAAAAAATGTACTTAAACTAAGATAAATGAAATAATAAACTCACAGATGAATTGAGAAGTTGATTAAAAAGTTAAGAGTGATAAGATTTTTTTAGTTACAAATTATTTATTGATAATATCACAATCAAGTGCTTTTTATAGTTAACAGGTACATTATTTAACTAATAGTTTAAATAACATTTAATAATGCCAAATAATACTGTCAATATAAGTAAATATTATTAATAATAATCAACAAAAATGATTTCAATCGCAAATAACTTCATTTGCAGTAATAATAGTAAGTAAGACACAGTCATCAAGTTGTTTTAATAATTAATAGTTGTTAAAAAATTTTAGATATTAAGTATTTGTTTTATTTTGTCCTTCCAGGTTTATGAAGGCCTTCCAGCAATAATTCTTCTTTCAAAGCCAGTACTTCATGTAATAATTCCTGATTATTTGCTTGAAGCTTAGCTATAACTTTTCTTTGGTTTCTTTCCCGTTCCTTTATTTGTATAATTGTGGTATCACAAACTTCGGAACATGGGGTGTAGGATTCTGTAATTTGGTTATGTTTTAAACACTTAAAAAAATAAAGAAGAGTAAGCTAATAGTATTAAATTTACCTGATTTATTTCTCAATTTGTCTGTTAACTTATTATTTTCCAATTGTAATTTTGATATTTTAGTTTGTAAAGCCCTTTCAGTTGTCTCTTTTTGTTTTGTAACTTGTAAAAGTTTTGCATTTGTGTCCAGATACTTTTTATATATTTCACTGGACTGGTCAGTCAACCTCTGTGCAGATGCAACACAGGCTTTTGATTCATTTTTCTCCAATTTTATTTTATCTTTTAATCTAGTCACTATACTCTGTAATTGGAAATGAGAGATATTCTATCATATAACAAATGCAATCTGGCACTAGACATGTAAGAGATAATAGTTTTGTTGCCAATAGAACAGTCTTCATATATTTTCAATGAAGCCTGGTAAAAAAGAAATGAACCTTGTTTTCCAAGATATTATGTTCAATGAAAAAATGGGTACTTATCACTGATTGAAAGTACTTTTGATAAACCAGGGTAGTTTAAAAATTCATTAAAAACACAAATCTGTTTAATTATAATTTTATACTTACGTTAAGTTGACTGTTATTACTTTCCAGAACATGATTACGCTCTTCCAGTCTCTCTGTCTTTTCTGCCACATTTTTATAGTTTCGTAATAAAATCCAAACAGAGTTAATAAGTTTTACCAAAGCTTCTGTGGTTAAGGTATCGTTTTCAACATCTATATACGGATTAAATATGTAGTTGATGTTCAGAAGTCCAAATTCCTTTAATGAAATTGTATTAATAATTTATAGAATTCCTCAAACCACAACATTAATATACAAAAAGTTTTTACCTCGTATATCCCTATTAAACATTCTTTAAAATTTTTAACTGTACATGGCTCAAATAAAGTCGCTTTCTTAAATTTATAATTTTCTAGAAGTTCTTTTACTTCTTCGTCCAAGCTTTCAAATTCACTTAACGAAGCCATTTTATGATGTGTATTTAACTTAACTAGACAAAACAAGTGAAATACTAAAGTTAAAGTACGCGCAACAAATCACAAACATTCACATGTCTATGTTTATAAAATAAAATCAACGGAAAACAGAACCAAAGAGTATACACTAACACAGGTTGTGTTGCCAGAATAAGAGATGAAAAGCATGAGATTAATTCCATGAATCAATAAGATAGAAAAATTTACCTTTACAAAAAATATAGCTTTTTGTTTATTGTTTTTATTGTTATTGTTTATTGGCCATTTCTTGAGAAAATGCAATAAGACAAAAGGGTGCGTGATGTTGAGACTAGTGTTACTGTTACAGTATTGGAACTAAATTAAAAAATTGCTTATCCTTATTTTTGTCAAATTTTTATTCATCACTGCTATTATACTTACATTCAGATCTCTTCCTCTTATCGTCTACGTCACATCGTCAAACTGTAGGAATCGGACATCAGTTCAGTTCACTATACTTGCTAGAACTTGCTAGAACAACTAGACAGTAATGAAATAAAGACCACAGTACATTAAAAAGAATTTTATTACTGGATTGAATAACATATATATATATAGTCTCATTTACAATACAATCATTTGATTCACAGTTAAAAAAAATATTAGTCTTTAGTTTTCATTCTGACAGGCATTAGTTTTTATGAGATTGTTCATTATTCGAGTTAATTGGTCCGAACACATACGAAGCCCAACCACGGTGCACATATACTCGTAGTTGATGTCTCCGTAAAAGCATCTTGTCACTTCTTTGTGGGACGTCTCATGAGTTTGCTCTGCATCAAACATAGTCTATTATAATCAATTATATTGGGATGCCATCAGATACTTCATAGAACACAATATTGAATTGAATAACATAACATTCCTACAAGAAAAAATAGACAATGTAATCATTTATATTATTTAATTAACAATTTATTCACCTTGGCCAAATTAAGTCCAATCTCGCTGAGCCGTTTGTGCTGGTACGTGAGTGGCTCGTGCAGCTTGGCGTCACCTCGTTTGTAGAAATCACTGTAGTCGAGTCGGAACGCCAACGTTTGTAGAGATATTTCTGCATGCAGCGCCAACTTCAGTATCAAAGTTGTCACATGACCCCTGAAAATACATACAATCCAATACAGTATAAGAATTTTCACATCGTAAGGACATATAGAAAAATTTAAGTTTATTTTTTGACATTTTTAATCTTACCTGTATGTCCTAGCCCAAACATTTAAATCAGCTTTTCTGTTCGCCAGGAACTGGAGAAATATTTTTCTTTTTTCTTTATCTTGAACTTCATCCGCAGCAGTAAATGCATAATCACCTAAAAAATGATTTAACTTGAAGTTTTTGTAGTAAGAAAATTAAGAATTTTTTTGTAAAGCCTTTTATAAATCTTTTTATAAAACGTCTAGATGATATGCTCATGACCGTGGCGATACCTTATTTATTTGCACTGACCTCTGGCAAGTTTCTCCGCTTTGAGCTGTTCGATGGCGTCGCGGCGGTCGAGCTCTGCGCGGATGCCGGAGTGCAGCGTCGTCTCGAAGCTGCGCAGCGCCAGCGTCTCATTCAACACATTGCCCAGGTATGACTGCAGCTCCTTTTGTATTTCAGTTAATAAAATTACTTATCAAGGGTGCAGTAATACGAGCATGCCAGTTATTTTAGGCTCATTCAACATCTGGAATAGCATATCAAATAATCTGTTATTGAAATGCGCAGTACCTGTGTGGTGTGGTGTATCATGGCGTGTATGGAGTGCCTTTCGAGCGCGTTGTGGTGCAGGCGCAGCAGCGAGTCGAGGTGGTGTCCGCTGGCGGCGGCGGCGAGCAGCTCCGCCCACGCGGGCTCCGCGCCCACGCAGCTCGCCTCCTGCAGCGCGCCGCATAGCCGCAGCGCCTCCGCGCGCAGGCACGACACGCGACGCATCAGACCCCACACCTCTGCACTCAACATACATAACAATCTCTTCTTACTTGTTCATAGCTGTACACACTCTCTTCGCACGAATGTGCCGGCTCGTCCGGTGTCACCACGACCACACAGAAGTCAGACGTGAAGTTGAAGCAATTCCGCCTTTCGTCTGATGAGTGTGCATGTCGGAAGCTCCTCCTTCTGCCGGTGCAGTGGGCTGCAGTACGTACCGGGCATGTACTTGAGCCGTTTGTGCAGTATGATGTGGTCGCGCCAGGCGCGGTGCAGCGCGTGCTCGATGCGCTTGACGCGCCACAGCTGCGCGAACAGCGCCCGGTAGCGCGCCGCGCACGTCGCCGGGAACAGCGTGCCCAGCGGACCGTCCACGCGGTACTGCAGCGCGAACACGTCCCACCCGCTGTCCTCGCGGCCGTCGCCTTACAAAATTAACACACAAACATTACATATTCAAAACGACTAGCGATATAACTTGCAATGCAACATACGAAGCAATATGCTTTAAATGAACGTACAATTCGGATATAAATTGACGTGTAGGCGGGAGAGGACGTGCGCAGGCTCGAACTGTGCGTTGGTGGCGCGCACGGCCGCCTCCAGCGTGCACGTCAGGTTGTGCACGTACAGCGAGCTCGCCGGCTTGTTCAGCTCCTCTCTGAGACACAACGCGACCAAATCGTTGCGTTACAAAGTCAAACAAAGCGTAATATATTACACATCTAAATTCGGCGAAAGGATCAATGAGTTCAGTTATATGTGTAAAGAGATGACTGACTGGAGCAGTGTCATGAGATGGTGCACGAAGTCGCCCTGCGCCAGCAGCAGGTAGCGGCGGTGCGCGGCGAGGTGGTCCAGCAGGTGGTGGTGCGAGATGAGCGCGCTGAGCAGCCGCTGCGAGGCCGCCGCGTGCGCCGCCGCCACGCCCGCGCGCAGCCCCTCCGCCTCCCACCACGCGCGCCCGCACTCCCTCTCCGCACCCTCCGTGCCCATACCTAACAACTCATCTACAATTAGTATAATTACACCTAAATAGGCTTAAATATTTTTTTCCATTATTTTTTTTATAATCGAACGATGGCAAGAAAACAAGCGACAAACTAAACTCGCCTAAAACTGACAATTATTTCGTTACCAAGCAAAATGTTATGTGTATTTAATACCGTTGTGTGGGGTAAGCAGCGCTTGCAGGTGATGTGCGTGGTCGCTGGGCCCCAGCTCGTCGGCGCACGCCTCGCGCATGAACACCACGCTCTTGCCCGTCGCCAGGATCTGCGCCGCCTGCTCGCGCAACATGAACGACGGCACCATCCACTCCCTGCACTCCACAAACACTCACTTCTAACAAACACTTCACAGACACATTCTAACTAAACCATTATAAAACATCCTGTATTAGGAAAATATAATCCAAGTGCAATATTAGTTCAGTTTTCGTTACCTTACTCTATATTTATCATGCCACATCCTGTCTATCGGCACACCGTTTCTGCTCTCGATAAAGAATTCGTTAAAATTGTCTTCTATTTCGCCTAAAATATAATAACATAATAATATTAAGATCTTAAATCACAATTACCGTAAACACATACTACTATAAAAAAATGATAAAGTAATATATACCGTGAAGTAACCACCGTGTCAGCATGAGTAGCAGTGGATATGTGAGTGCAGTAAGAAGACGTCGCGCAAGGGTCGCCACACGCTCGTCTCCGTGACCCACGAACCGATGAATACAGGATGCTAATTCACCACCTAAAATATACAAATGTACACTGTGATTTCAAATATAAATAATTTTTATAAAATGTTAACTGTTCATTCAGCTCGAGGCACCAAGAATAATGTACCATACGTAATACAAAAAGATAATAATTAATAAATACAATACAAATAACACATAATTGATCCTTATTATAACTCACCTTTCTTGTGATGAGCAGTATGAACCATGTTGGCTAACCAGGTGAGCCGATGTAACGGCTCCTGTGCCCACACGCACACCCGACGCAATGTACCTCCACCTCCTTCGCCTTCACATACCTGTTTTCATAATTACATCAGTGTATGTTCAGCTCGGAACATGGCAAGATTATAAATGTGGAAAAACGGTCAAGCGAGGCGTTCCCGCGTTCACACTTGACCTTTAGGTTAGAGTTTGTTAATCCAATTCGTTTTATGGCATAAAGATGACAATGTTACAACCAACTTATGGAAATAAAATATGTTTACCTGCGATTGTAACAAAGCAATGCTACGATAGTATTCAGTAAGTTCATCTCGTACAGCCGAAACTAATCCTTCGCCCATTAAACCTGAGAAGAGACATCTCTATTCAACAAATACAAATAAAGAGGCAAACATCAACTTTTAAATAATGAATTTTAATAATTACCTTGTGGCATCAATCCAGAAGATGGGTCAATGAATTCTTTAAGACGGTCATGAAGAAATCCTAACTGGGCTACTCGAGCATACATCATTTGTAATGGACGTGAAACTCCGAGGGCATTGCGTGTCCGCACCCCTGTAGCTGCCAGCACAGCATCTCGTACACAGGCACGCTCGCTTGGTTGCGCTATACACATACATTCATTTGTATACCTAGTATACTTATTGCTCAAATCATTAAATTATGACAAAATTGCATTGAATTAGCTTCTCTGCTTACCCAACTTTCATACATTAAAGGGAGGCAAAGTATCTGCAACTTTTTAGCTTGTAACAGTTGCCTATTGGTAATTTTTTATATATTCTTAATGTGTTACCATATGTAAATTTTGGTACTGACAGGTGTATGCCCCATAACACAGGTCAGTACTGACATTTAGAAACCTTTAGCTTTAAATGTAAATACTAAAAAGTTTTCAGACAATAGTATACTTATTTATTACCATTACTTTGTAATACTATTGCGGCATTACTGTAGTCTTCAGGAAGACTTTGGCTTGATCCTTGTTTTAAAACATTACTGCTCCAACTGACTGATCCAATTGTACTTTTACTATTGCTTGATCCAGAACAGATATTCTAAAAGATTAAACAACAACTTGTAAAGAATCTTTTGAATAAGAAAATTGAATATTTCTAAGAATAAAAGTACTAACTACACGGGTTACAAACAATAAAAAATTTATAGGTATATAGTGGGGAAGAAAACTCCAATAACAAAGGAGAACAAATAATAAAGGATTATAAATACTCACAGCTATAGTAAGATTAGGCACAGGAAACAGTTGTTGAGTAGATTCATTTTGATGAGTAGTGTCAGAGAGGGACATTAGGAGTGACAAAATTGATACTCGCTGCTTTAAAATTAACTGAAAAGTAATTTAAAATCAAGAAAATATCTGCAGTTTTTGACTTAATATAAGGGTAAAAAGAAATTAAAGTGATAGTTTTCAATTATGCTTACAGAGTTTTTTAGTTTTGCATAAGACTCTGTGAATTTATCTGCATCTTGTGCAGAGATACTTGCTAGACGATTGTATATTTTTTGACACAACAACCTCTCATCTTGAACTGGTCTACCTTTCCCATTAGTTGAGGTCAAATACGATAGTGCTAATTCATAAGCGGCATCTGTAACATGTTTATTATAATATTTAAAACAAATTAATTTCAACAAATTATATAGTGCACAATTTAATGAAATATACTAAGCCTCTTTTATATACGAAGTCTCTAAAATAATCATTTATAATATTCATAAACATAAATAAACTTGCACCAAAAAAGTGAAAACTCAAGCTAATTTCAAAAACATTTGAAAAAAGAAACAAACCTGGTGCAGATGACAATTCTTCGCACAATTGTCTAAGAAGAATTGTTAAATTACTTGAAATTGATTCCATTGTTGATATTTATAAATCTATTCATTGCCTTAGAAACATTTGTACATTTAATTTTATCAATGAGACAAACACTACACCAGCCAATTGTCGAATTTAAAACAATCTAAACCATTTAATATTTATGAAAGATTGAAATAAAACGATAAATATCAAAGAGTATGCCACAAACGTCACAATATCAAATACGAATAGTATAGGTCTACAAGGATATTATGGCATATTTTCGACATTGACAAGAGGGCGCATGCGAGCAGTTAGGGTAACCAGCAAGGTATTATTTCCACCCTAAAGGGAAATTCTTTCCTTTTGAATACAAAAACGCTAATTGTTAAAGGACTTTCACTTGTAAGTATTTGTACCTTACAATGTAATTAGGAAATGTCCTTAATTCGTTTGTCGGGGAGAAGACTATAGCTAAGGAACGTTTGTAGCAAACTTTTAGCAATGCTCTTTAAAGAGTAAGAAGAGGAATAGCCTTAACATTATAGAAATTGTCTTATAAGTATTTATCTAGAATTTTAATTGTTATTTACAATCAACGCACAATTCAAACTATGGGGTATGCCCAGCGGAGTGGTTCGACAGGTGCGTTTTAAATCATCAGACAGCCAGTATCTTGTAATATTTCTGAGTGTATATTTCACGTTAAAAACTAAAATCCTTGTTGATTTTATATCATTACGGCAATGCGTCAAGTTGCAGGAAACACATTACAGCTAAGGCGTCGATCACTTCGATGTTAACTGAAAAGGTAATAAAACAACTAAAGTCAATTAAATTATAACATTTTTTTTATTACAAAACTAAACATATTATGTCCCCTTGGGAATGGCGAATTTTTTGAGTTACTAAATGGTAACACATTTTTATTACAACAGACACAAGATGATATATATTTTCCAATGATATTACTGGACCCCCCCACCGTTCCTTTTAGCGATAAAAATATCTCTGACATTCAAAAAATCTCACTTAACACTTATGCTACTTCTAAACACTTTAATCGTATTTTTTCATGGAATAACATTAAAAAAACACACAAAGAAAACTTTCAATTGACATTTTAATTTCCACAAACTGCCGAATGCTAAAAATATATTGGTGCTATGGAAACGTATTTTTAATGAAATTATTTTAATTGTAACAATAAATTAGTTTCATAGGTTTTTCGCAAAATGGCGAGGTGTTCTAATTTCATGGACTTCCTATAAAATGCATTCTTATCATCTATCTACTCTTTGACTGTTTATATTGAATCTGTGGTTTTGAGTTTATCTGTGATTATTCTCGCATTTCTGTATTTCTAAGCATTTCTATGAATTTCTGCAGTTTTGTAATGCTTCGTAATTATTTATATTTATCATGAAACGTGATACAAATTGATTAAAACGAATTTAATACCATAATATAGAGTGTTATATGTAAGGATAATTATAAAAATGAGTTTTTCAATCGACGAAGTTAATTTTATTGTCTACCGTTATTTACAAGAATCAGGTCTGTTTGGACATAAATACTAGCTTAGACGCCACCATTACATTTTATTATATATTTGTTATAAGTTTCTTTGCAACATACAATTGTTTCATAATTTATCTTACAGGTTTTCACCATTCTGCATATACATTTGGCATCGAGTCTCATATTTCTCAAAGTAATATCAATGGTGCCCTCGTGCCACCGGCAGCTTTGCTTAACATTTTGCAAAAAGGTTTATTATATACAGAAGCAGAAATAACTATAGGAGAGAATGGTAAATTTGCTGACCAATGGTATGAAAATGGTAAGCAATTGCTTTGAGTTAATTAACTTTCAATGGTTATGTTATTATCTTAGGCACTGAAACGAGGCTTACGGAAAGCTTAAGTTTAATTGATGCAGTTACACCTGATGCAGTTGCTAATCGTCAAAACGCTCATAATGCTCAAAAGCAAGCCATTAAAGAACCAAGTTCAGGTGGTGAACAGAATGGCGTCGATGTATGTATCAAAACGGACACGGTAATAATCTTTTTTTCATTTTTGGTATTTTTAAGGTAAGAATTATCTTTAAGAATCAATAAATGTCAATACCTTTAAATTTATACTTAAAAAATCTTGGTATTGATTGATATAATATTGTTCTACATGGTTAAAAAAAATAAAAGTCTCCTCAATACAAAAGGAAGTAGAAGAAAATATTATCGCTATGTTTTATCCGCCTTTAAAATGTTTATAATCCACATATAGTAAAAATGTTTAAATTTATCAACTATGTTTGTTATATTGTGGTGGTGATCTAATAATTTAATAATACTTACATATTCACTAGATGACAATGTCTCTTATAAATGTTAAATTGTTTACATAGGTTTGTTATAATTTATCATTTCCAGTTAATTTCACTGTTACCATGACTTTTAAAGTTTTAAATATTAATTAAACCAAGTCAAAAAAGGTAACTGCACTTAACCCTTAAATGCTTGATAATGCATTTATACAACAGTCTTTTCTCCCTTACACAATAGACTATTTTGAAAAATCATGTTTTTCCCTTAGTATATGTTCGACTTACTACCTGTTTCAATTTATGGTATTGAAAACGAAAAAACAAGGCATTTAATTTTTTTTATTTTCTTTCACAATATTTATTTTAGACACCAACGACATGTACCACAGCTCCAACCCCAACTGGGATACCAACACCAACTGCTGTCCCTGAGACTATGGATGTTGATCAATCAATAGAAATTCCAGCCAGTAAGGCAACTGTACTGAGTGGTCATGAATCTGAAGTATTTATTTGTGCATGGAATCCTAGTACAGATTTATTAGCAAGTGGCTCTGGTGACAGTACAGCAAGGTATTTTAATTTTATTAAATGCATAGTAATGTCATTTTGAAATAACAAACATTGCATTTTTTAAATAAAGCCGAATCTATAGTTAAATACTTTTAGTTGCCCATTTGATGTTATTCATTTATAATTAAAATCAAAGAAATTGATTTCTTTACCTTTGATTATCCCTTTTTGCACTTTTTCCCACATTAATTTAACTAAGATTTTAGAATATGTTCATGCAAATTCAGTTTTATCAAAATTTACTATGAATAATAAGATTGTTGAATGCTAAATTATAACTTCTAGGATATGGGACATGTCAGATAATCCCACCACAACACCAAATCAACTGGTATTAAGGCATTGTATTCAAAAAGGAGGTACAGAGGTACCCAGCAATAAGGATGTTACATCTTTAGACTGGAATGTAAGTGGGATAGTGATTACGAAATGTCAATATTTATTTGTCTTGTATATATACTTTGTTCAATGGTATGTACTTAAAGTAAATGTTTTATTTATTATACATAGAATGAACTGACAAAATTGTTTTCAGTGTGATGGAAACTTATTGGCAACTGGATCATATGATGGCTATGCTAGAATTTGGGCTACTGATGGTACCTTAGCCTCAACTCTAGGTCAACACAAAGGGCCAATATTTGCTTTAAAATGGAACAAAAGAGGAAACTACATTTTGAGTGCAGGGGTATAATACTACATTTAATTAAGATAAAAAATTTATTTAAAAAAATAATGTTAAAAGGTCCTTTAATTTGTCATTTCCAGGTTGATAAGACTACAATAATTTGGGATGCTGCATCGGGACAATGCACACAACAATTTTCTTTTCATTCAGCACCTGCCCTTGATGTAGACTGGCAGACAAACAATTCTTTTGCATCTTGTTCCACTGATCAATGTATTCATGTGTGCAGATTGCATGCAGATAAACCAATCAAGAGTTTTCAAGGTCACACTGTAAGTAATGTCTACACATGGCTACTAATTAAATGTTGTGTAAATAATACAATAATCTTTAGTTCTTGTTTTCGATAGTTCGTGTGTATAAAAATATTAAAACATCATTTAAAATCATTCATTTATTACGTAATTTCATTTCTAGCAATGACAAAATATTAATAACAGGCAATCATTGTTTTACTTATTTATTTATTACAGAATGAGGTGAATGCCATTAAATGGGATCCACAAGGACAGTTGCTTGCATCATGTTCGGATGACAAAACCTTAAAGATTTGGTCCATGAAGCAAGATACCTGTGTTCATGATTTGGAAGCGCATTCAAAAGAAATTTACACAATAAAATGGTCTCCAACAGGACCGGGCACACAAAACCCTAATATGAATTTAATCCTTGCCAGTGCATCTTTCGATTCTACTGTTCGCCTATGGGATGTTGATAGAGGAGTGTGCATACATACACTAACAAAGCACACGGAGCCCGTTTATAGTGTTGCTTTTTCACCCGATGGAAAATTCCTAGCAAGTGGATCATTTGATAAATGTGTACACATATGGTCAACACAAACTGGCAGCCTGGTTCATTCTTACAAAGGAACCGGAGGTATATTTGAAGTTTGCTGGAATTCACGAGGCACTAAAGTTGGTGCTAGTGCTAGTGACGGAAATGTATTTGTGTTAGACTTGCGCAAGCTATAACAGATGCAGAATGATGTAAACTATTAAAGGTTACAGAAAACCTTTAATACTTTACACCATTAATTCAACAAAAGGATATGTCTTGTGTTCTGGAATAAAATACATTGATATCCAAGGTGTATTAGATTGCAGTAATAACATTATTAAAGACACTGACTTAATAGTTTTATGTGTTGTTTATGATAAGGAAATTTTATAAAACTATTATAATACTTGTAATGATTAAATATATAATAACCATTAGATTGTGGATGTGGATTTAAAATGTTGAGTTTTATAGAGATAAATGCTGTAGATGTCGATTTTAAATTTAAAGTATTATTAGTCAGCCACTCTGTATTATGATAATAACATATGAAAAAATCATATAGATTTATGAACTTAATTTGGGTCGTTTTTATATCTTATATTGTGACAATAACAACAATGTTTAATACTTTACATGTCCTCTATACCAAAATCATAAAGGGGAAAGATTTGCACTTTTTGTATTTAATCAATTAACGTAAAAACTACTGGGCTGATTTAAAAAATTCTTTCAAGATTAAAAATATAATTTATCTGTAAGTAACATAGGATATATTTTTTTATTATTTTCAATTTCACGCTGGCGAAGTCGCGAGCATCGGCTGGTTTTATTATATTTAAATAAATCTTCAAATCAAGTTGCTAATTTTGATTTTGGGTAGGTTTAATTTGATTAACTTAACCTTTACCAGAACCTGAATAAAATAGTTCAAGATCTTTCATCAGACAGCTTCAGCCTTCATCTGCCCAATGTAAATATCCTTGCATTAATGATTTTTTGTTTTAGAGAAACTGCTCTAAAAATGTATGTATTTAAAAAAACTATCTTGGATGGTTTTCAGAAAACTACTTTATTGTTAGTTTAATTAAAAAGCTGTTTATGCTAATCTTATGGTATGCAGGTATATAAATTATAACATGTATTCATATGTAGTTTTATTATAACTTTACAACTTCCTCAGATACATGATTTTTGTTTGCTATTAAAATCTCAAATTTTATAGTTGTTTCTTAAAATTTTTTAGCAAATCAGTGATTTTGAACTACTGTGGTGAGTGAGACTTTGGTTTCAAATGATTACAATGAAAATATTTTTTTATACTATGCAAATATACCTTCAAAATTCGTTTTTAATTTTGTAAATAATTACATAATTAAAACAAGAAATGATTAAAAAAATAGTTTATGTCATAGGTCGCTTATATGCTAACAAATTTTCAGAATCATACAGTTTATGTAGCTTTTTATGCAAGAACTTAAAAAAGAACAGCAAATTATCATACTGGCCAGAGTAAGGCACACAATAAGAGTCATTGTTGTGTGGCCTATGTATTGGATATTGCAAAGTGAGATGAGATGTATAAGTTTCACTGCGACCCCATGCAGATAAATGTAATTCTAATAATAACTGATGTAGAGCTTCAATTGTTGAAAGATACCAACGAGGACTACCTTTTTGATAGCGCCAAAATTGTGATGGTCTTTTCTTGAGAACTACCTTGGGTAGTTTTTGTAATCTTTCATCTGCATATATACCACGACTTTGATTCCATGTACTGTCTATTAAAATAACACGGTCAACTGGCCATTGTTTTACATGGTATATATCTAAAATTTCTACATCTTCCAATGTTTTAGTCATCAAAGTACCAACATTATACCCATGGGGTAATTGTGAAAGTAGTTTTTGAGAATATGTCTCTGAAGGTTGTTTTCCTGAAAATAGACTGGAAACAGAAACAGCTTCTGCGCCAGGATATAGTAAAACTGTTCTACCATTTTTGATGTCATATTCAGGTATTTCTGGATAAGTATAAACACGAACTTGATCAGGCGCTAAAACGGCTGCGTGTGCGGCGGTACTTTTTCCATCAATTTCTCTGCGATGTTTAATGATATCAATTTTAATAGGTAACTGAAAAATTTGTATTAAACTAAAATGAAAAAAAAAATAGGGAAGAAATAACAAGTAAGTATAGACATTAAATAGTAATCTTACAGCACAAGTAGGTATACGACTGACTAGTTGCGAAACTGGAACAAAACAAGTGTAGCAAAAGTACATTCGTGACTTTCCACAGTTAGGACAAGCACTTCTACTTTCGATGTTGTCAAGAATTTCTATATTTGCGATAACAAGACCATGAAACGGATCTCCTTCCCGTTTTCTAGCTTCTGGACTCTTGGGATTCATAGTTTATCGAAGAACTACTACACTTATTTATGTGCTACTATTTACAAATTCTCAAGTAACCTAAAAAAATAATTCTTTTACAACTATTTACTATAGCCACAAGCAAGTGCTAACAACTAATTAAATACGATCAGGACGTAAAATGTAAAGATACAAATTAGTTTAACTTATAATGAAAATTCAACAAGTAAAAAATTAACTTCAAGTAAGCCACTGATCTCTATTCTCTACAGATAGATATGAGCATGTGCGCTGGGCAGGTTTCAGTACCAGTATTGTTATTATTATTTATCTATGGCAGGTTGCATTAAACGCGCCGTTTGACATTAATGATTATAACCGTCATCAGTCGCAACCATCAGCGCGAAAATGGCTTAAATTAAATGGACACAAAATACCACAGTTTATAGCTCACCCAACTGTCCTTTTATAATAATCAGTGGTTTGGTTTCTGTTTCTGAGCTGAATCCTGAATCTTCTGTTAAATAGAGATGATGTTGCGATCTGTAAAAAATAAATGTTTATAACTTAAATAACGTTTTTCAAAATAACATGGTAGTATGTGGGTAATTGTTTAATAAACGATAATTGTATTTGAAAGTTTATGTTGTGTTTTTTTACAATAAAGAAATAGTTCCAGTGCATTGTAGTTATTTTATTACCTAAACAATGTAGTCTGTGGCTGTATCCAGTTCTCTCTTTCATCAATATATTTTTCATCATCTATTTTCGTTCGTACGTCAAAAAGTGTCTTGCATTGTATTTTTAATTTCAATTCCTTTTTCGTAAATTAATCGTTTGATGAAGGTAAAAAACAAATTTTCTTTATGTGTGTAATATTTTCGTGGTTTCTATAGTATTTCTACGCTTATTCAAATTTGTTTTGAATATCTGCCTTGTTTAGAAGTATGACGCCATTTTGTCGCGCCGGCTGATCCGAAATATATTTTGAATTTATATTTTTTTCCCCTTTTGAAAATACATCAATAATGGTGTATTTAGTCGAATATTTTTAAATGAACTAATTTGTGCTGCGAAGTATTTGAAAGTGATCGTTTTGGTACTCTACATCTTCTCTCCAAAATTATCGATTGTGTTTTCTTCCCAACATTTGTTCTCATTTTCGATAAATGTAATAATATTGTGAATACATATGGGATATACAAAATATTTAAATGAATATAATTAGAGGTGATGAGCAGTCAAATCATGTTTTTGCGCGGTGTACATTTATAAGAATCGATTCATAATAAATTTAATGTCACAAATAACTATTACTCAACAATTCTTTGTAATATTTAAGAAATTCAATGATAAAATATTACAATTCGATACTTACTACAAACTCAAACTGAATCATTTTACGTTATTGGAACAGTAGAAATATTGTAGTTAAGTGTTAGTACATTATGATATGTAAGTTTTAAGGAGATATAAAACTAACTGTGAATAAATTTCTAGAAGCGGCAATGAATAGAGACATGAAAAAATAATGACAATTTCAATGAAAGAACAAGAGCAAATGCCCGGGGAGGTAAGAGTTTCATATCATTTTGATAAAATAATGTATAAATGTGATTAAATGTTGGACTTATTATGTTAATATAGATGGCATTCCCCGAGGCTGACCTTAAAGCCCTAGAAGAAAAAATAACACATCCTCGATGGATTGTACCAGTTTTGCCTGAACAAGAATTAGAATCACTTGTTTTAGCTGCCACTGAGCTCGCTGTAAATGGTATGTATTTAGGTAGTTGATTTAATATATAAAACATTAATAACTACTTGTTAATACCCATATAATTGGAAATGTATTACAAAATGTGCAATATTTTCTAGTTACTTAATGCATCATAGTTTTAAATATATTTTTCAGGTGAAGATGTGAATAATCCTTACTGCCAGCGATTTTACAATGATGCTCTCACATTAGCCTTTACTAAGATCTTAACTGATGATGCGGTGGCTTCTTGGAAAAGTAACATACAGCAGTGCATCAGAGCAAATTGTGAGAAACTAGTGAAGCTATGTGCCATGAAATTGGATGATCCAAGATTTTTACATTTATTGTCTATGGCCTTCAATCCAAACAACAAGTAAGTTTTTATTATTACAATTTTTGTAGCTTGTTGTTAAAATTAATTAATTAGATGGTGATTGCATGTTGTTTATTTTGCACAGATTTCACACATTTAATGTGTCTCGGACCTGTGAAGGTTTGACAGTATCAACTACTTGCAATATGGGCCAAGGCTCTGGTCAGGAACCAGAAATTTTTGCAAGATCACAAGATCACCGTTCACCTCGAGGATGGCTGGTCCATCTCATTAATGTGTAAGTTATTTAAATATATTAGATTATTATGTATAACTATTGTTTGGTGTACATTGTTTTAAAGGAAGCATGTTTAGTTTAGATGTATCTTCATGTATGAAGAAATGTAAAAAACAACATTTTATGTGAAAAGGCGTTGTCTATGTTCTCATTGTTAAGGATTGGTCTTGTGAAAAACAAGAATTGTACTTTAACACATTATTATTTATAGCTTTGGTCAAGCTGGTGGTTTCGAGAAACTACGAGAAAGATTTGATTCTGTAATAGGCTATCAAAAGTCTGAATTAACAATGTCTGTAAATTATGATGAAAAAATTATAACAGAAACACAAGAATATGAAGAAAACAATAAAGTGGATGTTATAGAAACTTTGCCATTAACTTCAGAAATAACAGAGGTAACTCTTTATGACCATTTGGCAATTTATAACCATTTGTCATATTTTACTGATTAAATTGATTTTTTTGTAGAGTACAATATCTTCTAAGAGTGAACCATTTTCATCACTGGAACAGTCAGTGAGTGTAGAGACTCGAGTGGCTGGTGTGTGGCAACTGCTGCGACCTTTCAGTCTGTGTCATGACTTGTTGACACCACATACTGTTACTGTTTATCTGTTACCTATTATTGTAAGTCTTTAATATTTTTTACTTTTAACAAACCATAGCATTATTTAATTGTCTTTAATGATATAACTTGTGTCTTTTTTTTGTTAGGAGTACATACCAACAATGTTGGAAAGTCTTACTGATGATGAACTAAAAAGGGAGAGCAGAGCCTCTGAAAGTAAAACAGATAGTGTCTCCTGTCTGATTAAAACATGTAAATGTCTGCTGGTGAAAATACCACAACATCACAGCCTGCTGAAATGTAAGTTTTCTGGAAAAAATAATAATTTCTTACTAAAGTTAAGAATTTTATGTTTGCAAGATATTAATGTGTCCTCTGTATATTGTGTAACAATTGTGTTTATGATCTTTCAT